ACTCAGGTTGCGACTCCGCCCAGCAGGCTTGACGGGGGACCTGAGGCTGTGTCCCTTTCTCGGTTCTGGGCCAGACCTGAGATGCGTGCGCGCCTCCTGCCCCCACCTAGCGGGGCTTGACAAGTTATCTCAGGCCGTGTGTCCTATCTGGTGGGGATTGATGAGGGACCTCAAGGCACACCCGCCACCCCAGTCTGGGCTAGGGGACTTCAGGCCACGCTCCCTGTGCTGGTGCCAGGCCAGGTGACCTGAGGGTATGCCCCCTTCCCAGCAGGGATTGACAGGGTGGGACTAGACGGGTCTGGATCTAGCCCCATGAGGGAGGGCGGGCCGGGTCTGGGTCTCACGCGATTTTGGTTGGGTGGGGACTTGACTCTGAGTCCCATGGTGAGCCCAGACACTGACAGGAGGAAGGTTTTCATATACATTTTACTAGTTTTCTTTCATCTCTGACACTTATATTATAGAGAAAGGGCAAATAACAATAGTAAATTATTTCCTCTAATCCCCTTTTAATGTGCATGAATTTCATGAACCAGGTCACTAGTTACTAAATAAAAATGCATTCTGTTTTATGTTTAAAATATTGATTTCTTAATTTAGGGTTGGAAAAGTGGGAGGCGTCTTATACATGGGGCATCTTATACACGGAAAAATACAGTGCTTTGTGAATTGCTTGAGGGTTATTTGAACACAAGCACTGTGTTACTGCAGAGAGGGCTCTAAATGACCAACATATACAGTGCGGATGTACTGGACAAGGGGATGATTCATGTCCCAGGTGGACGAATGAGAGTGCAGGATTTCATCATGGTACTCAGAATGGCACACGATTTAAAATTACGAATTGTATGGAATTTTACATGTAATATTTCTCGATGTAACTGAACGGTGAAAGTGAAACCTGGGATAAAGGGAGGGACTGCTGTGCACATAAGGAGGGAAGGATCAGAGGGCCCTGCTCTGGAGCACTTCAGTCTTAGCATTCTGAGGATACACTGAGGACCTAGCAGAGGAAACAAAGTGGCAGGCGAGGTAGGAGGAAACCCAGGGTATTGTCCTAGGCTTCCAGTCCTTGAGAAGTGAGAACAGACATTTGGATTTACATTGTGGGGTCATTTGTGACCTTGCCTAGAGTTTTGTTAGAATGTTGGGGAGGCGAAGGCTTGATTGGAATGAGTTCAAGAGATAATGGCATGAGAACTTGGAGATTTCTGCTGGTTTTTCACTGAAAAGAAAAGACATTGGGCATAACCTGTAGAGGAAAGTGAGGTTTTTATTTTTTAGGCTATATCGGCATTTTTGTATACTGATGAGGAACACACATTAGAGAGAGAAAATCTGATGCAGAGGAATGAGAATTGCTATTGCGATATCCTTGAGTAAGTGAGAGGGGACAGGACCAGTATACGAAATAAGAGGAGGCATTGGCCTTTGCCAGGAGCATGAGTAAGTTTGTCCATAGTAAAAGAAAAGATGAGTGTAGGTAGGTTTACATGCAGGTTGGAACTCTTGATTATTTTCTCTGTGAAGTAGGAAACAAGATCTTGGATGAAGAATAAGGCTGGAGGAGGTGTTGGAAGTTTGAGGAGAGCGAAAGTCTGGTTATGTAGGAGAATAGGAGTGAATGGACTAGGCAACTAGTATGAAGGGCAGGCAACAGTACAGATTTACTTGAGGTTAGTGATCACATATTTATTTAAAGTAAGACCAGTCAGCCCCTCCAGCTGTGAAGATACAGGTGCAAAGTAGACAGAGATTTGGATTTTATTTTTTATTGATTTCAGAGAAGGGAGAGGGAGAGAGAAACATCAACGATGAGAGAATAATTGACTGGCTGCCTCCTGCACGCCCTCAGCTGGGAATTGAGCCTGCAACCCTGGCATGTGCCCTTGACTGGAATCGAATCCCGGGACCCTTCAGTCCGCAGGCCAACACTGTATCCACTGAGCCAAACCAGCTAGGGTGAGATTTGGAATTTTAAAAGATTGTGGTTTAGCCAAGGGAATATGATTATGATAGAGTGGCAAAGGAGTTGAGGATGTGTGCCAGAGGAGTGATCTTATATTTGGCTGTGGAACTTAAGATGAATAAGATGGGAAATGAGGACATGAGAGGTGCTGAGGCTCAGTGAACAGGTAGTAGGGCCAGTAGATGGTAGGTCCTGGCAGATTGAACAATTTAGAGACAGGGCATTTGATGGAGGAAGGGGAAAAGGTAGAAGAATATGGAGGGGATGTGCAGTTATGATTATAGTGAGGTCTAGAGTTTGACCCCAAGAGTGAATGGAGGAGCGGTAGGCAAGGAATTGAGAGATCAAAGTATTAGAACAGTTATGCAAATAGTGAAGTCACCAGGACACTGATGGAGCTCATTACTTGGCTGAGGTAGTTTGTCAGGTCTCTCCACTATAAAGTTATATCAATATGGACTCACGGATGTTTATTTTGTAATTTGGATTATAATTCATGACTATTCAATTATTGTGTTTTTGTGTGTGTGTTTTTAACACTTCCTTACTTTCTGGCACTTCAAGATTATCTAGGCTCGCCGAAGCCGGTTTGGCTCAGTGGTAGAGCATCGGTCTGCGGACTGAAAGGTCCCGGGTTCGATTCCGGTCAAGGGCATGTACATTGGTTGCGGGCACATCCCCGGTGGGGGGTGTGCAAGAGGCAGCTGGTCGATGTTTCTCTCTCATCGACGTTTCTAGCTCTCTCTCTCTCTCCCTTCCTCTCTGTTAAAAATCAATAAAATATATTTTTTTAAAAAAAAAGATTATCTAGGCTTATCTTGTATAGTTCCTGTCCCTGTCCTAGAATCAGTTACTTCTTTAAGGTACCTGATTCCTTTTTTGGACAGTGGTATTAAAAATTGAGGTCTGGCCCTGGCTGGCACGGTGGTTAGAACGTTGTCCCGTGCACAGAAGGGTCATGGGTTTGATTTCAAGTTAAGGGCTTGTTCTGGGTTCCAGGTTTGATCCCCCAGTTGGGGCCTGTACAATCGATGTGTCTCTCTCACATCAATATTTCTCTTTTCCTCCCTCTAAAGCAGTGGTTCTCAACCTTTCTAATGCCGAGAGATCCTTTAATACATTTCGTCATGTTGTGGTGACCCCCAACCATAAAATTATTTTCGTTGCTACTTCATAACAACTTGTAATGTAAATATCTGTGTTTTCCAATGTTCTTAGGTGACCCTGCTAATGGTTCTCAACCTGTGGGTCACAACATGAGGAACTCTTAAATGGTCACGGCATTAGGAAGGTTGAGGACCACTGCTCTAAAGAGAGCTAAGGATTTTGGAATTTATTCTTCAGTCAACATACAGGAAGAAGAGTTAGAAGGAGGAAAATAAATTTAATTATTTTGACAATTTGAAGTGTTATAAAAGCTTGACTAAAGATGCTGGCTGTAGGAATGGAAATGTGGTTGCGCATGTAATACAGAAAATGGTCAAAACTTGATTATTGATGAAGTGTGGAGTTCAAGAATAGAGTACTTAAAGATGAAGCTCAGATTCCACATGTACCTTAGCCAGTATATTTGGGAGGGTTGTTGTGTGTTTTCTTAGTGGTGGTTGTTTTTTTCTTAATGTTTTTATTGATTTTTAGAGGGAGAGGCACAGAGAGATAGAAACATCAATGAGAGAGAAACATCATCATTCGGCTGTGTGTGTGTGTGTGTCCCCACTGAGAGTCTAGCCAGCAACCTGGGCATGTGCCCTGACCAAGAATCAAACTGGTGACCTTGGTTCCTGGGTCGATACTCAACTGCCAAGCCACACTGGCTGGGTACATATAGTAGTTTAATGATACACTTAAGGTACTGGTGCCATATTTGGTGGAAATATTGGAAAAATGTTCCTAAACTTCAGAAGAGATGATGGGTCCATAAATTAGGAGTCATCTGAGTAGAAAGAGTGGTTGAGGGCTGAGGATTAAATGAGATTGCCAAGGAAGGAGGTGTAGGGAGTAAAAAAAAAAAACAAAAAAAAAAACAAGGACACATCCTTAGGGAACTTCCTATGTTGACAGGGATGGGAAAAAAGGGAGCCAAAGTAGGAACTTTGGTTAGACACAAAGTGAAATCTGAGAACAGTCCAAGGAGAAGGGAGTAGGAAAATACTTATTTTAGGGAAACATTTGAATTACAGACTTTTTTAAATAAAAAGTTGTACATAATTCATATTGTAAGCTAGGTTATGTGCCAATAGATAAAATAATGCAAGTTAATGAAAGTCATTATTTTGCACTAAAACCCTGCATTATTATATCATTATATATTATAAATAGAATAGTTGTTTAGCATTGAAAAATATTTTGCTGGATATAGAGGTTGAAGAAATCTTTTGAAAAGAGAATATTAATCAGTTGTCTTCTTAATTGGAAGTCTGGGATTTTTTTGTTTTTTAATCCTCACCTGAGGACATACTTAGAGAGGGAGGGAGAGAGAAAGAGAGATCAGTTGGTTGCCTTCCATACATGGCCAAATTTTTTTTTAATATATTTATTTTTTACAGAGAGGAAGGGAGAGAGCTAGAGAGCTAGAAACATCAATGAGAGAGAAACATCGACCAGCTGCCTCCTGCACACCCCCTACCAGGGATGTGCCCGCAACCAAAGTACATGCCCTTGACCGGAATCGAACCTGGGACCTTTCAGTCCGCAGGCTGACGATCTATCCACTGAGCAAAACCTGTTTCGGCAACATGGCCAAATTTTGACTGGGAATTTAATGGGCAGATTTTCAGTGCATGGGGTGACACTGCCTTGAAGGTTTAAAAGATATGGGATTTTCATCTTTTGTTCTATGGGAATAATCTCTGCTGTAACTGATTGGACAAACTCTGAATAGTGAAATTTTTACCGAATTTGACCATGTACCAACACTTTTTAGTATATTTTCGCAGAAGTATTCTTAAGTAGTCTACTAGGTATAAAAATATCTATAAATGTACTGTTGGTTTTTCCCTAAGTAACTTTTTGTTTTTATCCTTTCCAGGATTTGACTGGCATAGAATCTATGGATCAATGTCGACATACATTGGAGCAACATAACTGGAACATAGAGGTAAAACAGGATTTATTCTGAGCTTTTCTTTTTAAAAAAAATATATATTTTTATTGATTTCAGAAAGAAAGGGAAAGGAAGAGAGATAGAAACATCAGTGGTGAGAGAGAATCACTGATCGGCTGCCTCCCACACTCCCCCACCGGGGATTGAGCCCGCAACCCGGGCATGTGCCCTTGACCTGAATTGAACCTGGGACCCTTCAGTCTGCAGGTCAGCGCTCTGTCCACTGAGCCAAACCAGTCAGGGCTGAGCTTATTTCTTTTTCCGTGGTCTCATAATGATTCAAAGACATGTATTTTTCCACAGCTGGAATCTTTTCTTTTAGTAGAGCTGATTTTCAAATTTCCAACTCTTTAAGTCTTTGAAAATGAATGTGTGGGCCCTGGCTGAGTAGCTCAGTTGGTGAGAGCATCTTCCTGGTAGCAAGTTCGATCAGGGCACATACGAAAATCAACCAATGAATATATAAACAAAAGCATAAATAAGTGGAACAACAACTTATGTTTCTCTCTCTCTCAAATAAAAAAATGAATGTGTAGCCTGGCCGGCGTGAGTCAGTGGGTGAGTGTTGACCTAAGAACCCGGGGGTCAAGGTTCAGTTCCCAGTCAGGCACATGCCTAGGTTGTGGGCTTGATCCTCTGTAGGGGGGATGCAGGAGGCAGCCAATCAATGATTCTTTTTCATCATTGATATTGCTATCCTCTCCCTCTCCCTTCCTCTCTGAAATCAATAAAAATATATTTTAAAAATAATGGTAGAAAAAACTTTATGATCAAAGTTTATAAAATAGAAAAGGTAGTGACCAAATTCCTCAATATAGTGCCTACTCCGTGTGTGTGTGTGTGTGTGTGTGTGTGTGTGTGTGTGTGTGTATGTGTGTGTGTGTGTGTGTGTGTTTTTAGTGGCTCTTTGGGGGGAAAAAACTCGTTCTTTTCAATGTCAGTTAATGGTGATAGCAAACATCTTGTCCTCACTAACATCTCTGAGTTGATTTGAGCATCACTGAAATTCTTCCTACTCTTTTTTCCTTCTCAGGCTGCTGTACAGGACAGATTGAATGAGCAAGAGGGTGTACCAAGTGTTTTCAGTCCACCTCCATCACGGCCCCTGCAGGTTAACACAGCCGACCACAGGATCTACAGCTATGTTGTCTCAAGACCACAGCCAAGGGCAAGTTATTTCATAGCTGGAATTCCCCCTTTTATAAGTTCATTCACTTGGTTATGTTGATCTCTGTATGAAAAAAGCAAGAGAAATAGTCAGAATGTATAGCTGGACCAGGCTCCTTGATAGATTTATTGGGTATATTATTTTCCCTTGATTCTTTTTCCCCCCTCCAGCCCACATTTCCCTCCCACTTCCTTGATTCTTCATTTTGTGTGTGTTTCGGGGGGAGAGGGGTTCTTTGCCAGTTATTTGAAACAGTTTCTGCACCTTGTTTTTTGAGTAATTGTATTTACATGTCTAAAAATGTTTGTTACATGTTAACTTGATATTCCACTTTTTTTTTTTAATCCTCATCCAAGGATATGTTCCTATTGATTTGAGAGAGAGAGGAGGGGTGAGGGGGGAGAGAGACAGAAACATCAATGTGAGAAACATTGATCCTTTGCCTCACACATGAATCCCGACTGGAGATCCAACTGCAGACTTTTGGGACTATGGGGTGACACTCCAGCCAATGGAGCCAGCCACCTGGCCAGGGCTAGACCTTCCACTTTTACGTCAGAATATTTACTGAGTTCTTTATTGCTTTATTTTACTTAATTTTAAGCTAATCCTAGGGAAATACTTGGAATATTTGTTGAGAGCCTTCACTATATCTTTAAAATTTGCCTTCAAGGGCTAGTAGCAAGGAGTGGTACAATTAAAGTCAGCAGGCTTGAAGAGTGCTCCAGTGTACCTGGTATTTGGCTGCTGGGGATCCAGAGATGAATGATGAGCCAGCTCTCCCTTTCACATTGCTCACAGTCTAATTAGGGAGGTCACATGTGGATACAGTACTGATATTGAACTCCAGAGAGCTGTTTGGAGTTTCTGGTTTTATATATATATATATATATTTTTTTTTTTTTTAATTTTTTTTTTTTAAGAGGAAGGGAGAGGGGAGAGAGAGGGAAACATCAGTGATAAGAATCATGAACAGCTGCCTCATGCACGCCCCCTACAGGGAACTGGTCATCTCATCCTGCAACCTGGGCATGAGTCCTTGACTGGAATTGAATGTGGGACCGAATTTCATTCTGCAGACCGACACTATCCACTGAGCCAAATCAGCTAGGGCATGAAGTTTCTCGTAATTCTTGGAGTTATATTCACCTCTTGTTCTTGGATTTAGAATTCCAAGAAAGTACTCCCTTTAACTTTATAGCAGTTAGAATTTCTTGTATCAATTATACCTTTTGTGAGCACTGGACAGTGTTTTAAAATGGAGTTTCTAAGTAGTTGTTTTGGGGTATTTTGAAGCAGAAGAGCAGATAGATTCCTATAGCAATTGAATATCCCGGTGTTTCCTCAGTTTGTTTTTGGCTTATCTCAGTGTTTTGAGGTCTTATGTCAGCCATGAGGCTCCAGAGCTCCCTGGCTATGGGCACAGGGAGGGTTTCAGGTTAACACAATACAATGTATAAGAAATGTTTTGTAAACTATAGATCTCTTTCCACATATGCTAGTTAACAACAGCAGCAGCAGTAATCAACATTGTTAAAATAATAATTAGTATTATTACAGCTATGTGGAGATTTATAATTGTGGTTAATATAATTGTCAATTGTATATATATCCAAGGCAGAAAGAGTTACCTTTCTTGCTGTTTCTGTATACGATATTTTAATATGTAAATGTGAAAAAAAGGAAAGAAGGAATAATTATGACTTGGGGAGGAAAACTTGCAATTGAGTTTGTCAGCTAATATATATAAATGCAGAAAAGTGTTGGAGCAGGTTTTAATTCAAAAATTGTATGATAAAAGAAAAGAAAATAGGATAAGTATTAAGTAAAATGAGATCAAAGACAGTTGGTCTTTAAGGAGGATGAGGTGGCCAGGAAGAGGAACTATATTGCAGAGGGAGAAAGCACATGAAGGACAAATAGAGTGAAAAATTGAACTAGCCATGTTTTAAGGTATTAGTGAATGAATAAATGGTATATAACTTTATTTTTGGAATTGCAGGGGCTGCTCGGATGGGGTTATTACTTGATAATGCTTCCATTCCGGTTTACCTACTACACAATACTTGATATATTTAGGTACGTACCTTTTTACTTATGTATTTACGTGTTAGCAATAAGGTAGACTTTGGAGTGGAAAGGTAGACCAGAATAAGATTTATACTCAATATCAATTTTGACTTGGCAATTTGACATCAGATTGAATATTTCTCCTAAACAATCTTTTTATCAACTATGAAAATATTTTAAATTATTCAAATATAACAGATGATGTGAAATGAAATGGTTTTAAATTAGTCTTACTTATCATTTTCAAGAATCTACCTACATTTATTATCTTCCCTTCTCCCACCATGTTCGTCACCTCAACATTCTCTAGTTAATCCACTCTTTCCTTTCTAACCACCATATCTATTAGCTTCAGATTATTTGTAACTTTTTTAAATATATATTTTAGATATATTTTATTGATTTTTTTTTTATAGAGAAGAAGGAAGAGGGATAGTTAGAAATATTGATGAGAGTGAAACATTGATCAGCTGCCTCCTGCACACCCCCTCCTGGGGATGTGCCCACAACCAAGGTACATGCCTTTGACCAGAATCGAACCTGGGACCCTTCAGTCCGCAGGCAGACTCTCTATCCACTGAGCCAAACTGATTTTGGCAGATTATTTGTAACTTTTACCCTAACTCATCTAAATAACTCCATCTGACTACTGATAATCCAAAAAAATTATCCTGCTCTGAGATTATTCACTTTTCTCCAGATTCACTTACAAGTTTCACCTCTCTAGACACTCTTATACAATTCCTTCTGTTCAGGCTGATAATACTGGAGCCTTTCTGTAGGTATACCCCCTTGCTTCACACTTACCCTTTTTCTTGCTTCCTTCATGTACCATTTAGGGAGCTCAGCACTAGAAGCTACAGAGGGGCCGGGGCTAGAAAATGCCCAGGGCTTCCAAATTGCTGGCACATTAGGTTTGGGTGTCTGGTCTAGAGCTGAGTAGTAAAGGATCCCACACCTAGGCTTTATAGGGAACTAAAATGTTTATGGGCCAGTAGGTAGAGCTTAAATTTGTGATTTGGGCCTTGCATATAAGGCAAGCTGTACCTCCCTCAAATGTGGAATAGCTTTTGCCTTGCTCTAGGGCACTGGTGGTCCATGAGGTCTGAAAGGTTGGCAACCGCTGCTCTAGGGAACAGAGGCCTAATGTGAGGACCCAGCAGCTACAGAAGTGCAAGGATCAGACAGCACCTTTTACTTTGCTCATTTAGTGTCTTTTTGTTGTTGTTGTTTTGTTAATCCACCTGAGGATGTTTTTCCCATTGATTTTTTTTTTTTTCTTTTAGAGGAAAGGGAGGGACACAAGTGGGGGAGAGAAATATCATTGTGAGAGAGAAACACATTGATTGGTTGCCTCACACATACACCTGAACTGGGATGGGGGATCGATGGAACCTGCACCCCAGCTATGCCTTTGACTGGGATTCAATACTCTGGCCAACACTCTAACCATTGAACCATGCTGGCCAGGGCCATTTAGTATTTTAGGAGCCTACTTGCTTAATGGCTTTCTTGCTTTAGCAAAGTTCTTATAGATCAACAATTAACCAATTAGTACTCTTTCCATTCCTGTTTATTTAAGAATGAGCACATAACCTTTAAAATCTTAATGAAGACTGAGTTGATGTCTCTGTTTTCTTTTTAAAGCTAATTGTCCTAAAGTAGCCTATATAATAAAACCCTAACATGCAAATTGACTAAACAGCAGAATGACCAGTCTCTGTGACACTCACTGACCACCAGGGGGGTGGATGTTCAACACAGGAGCTGCCCCCTGGAGGTCAGTGCACTCCCACAGGGAAAATGCTGCTCAGCCACAGCTGGTGAGTGGGAGTGCTAAGGACCCCTTGGGGATGTTCTGCCGGCTTAGGCCCATTCCCTGCGGAGAACAGGCCTAAGCCAGTAGGCAGACATCCCCAAGGGGTCCCGGACTGTGAGAGGGCACAAGCCTGGCTGAGGGACAACCCCCCCTCAGTGCACAAATGACATGCACCAGCCCTTTAGTATATTATAATGAGAAACAAAAAAAGTTAATTCCTTTATCCATTCATTCATCAAAATGGAACTTAAAGACTAATAAGATAATCCTAAAAGTAATTTCAGAGAAAGTTATCAGACATCAATTTTCTACAGGATTTCTTCTCACATAAACAGCTTTTTTGTTAAATTTATTGGGTTGCATCAGTTATTAAGACTATAGAAGATTCAAGTGTACGATTCTCTGATATATCTGTATGTGTTCACCACTAAAGTTTAGTCTCCTTAATGTCATTTATTTGACCATACACAGCTTCTTACGTTTGTTTTTAATTTGCTCTGGAATGTTTGTATGTCAGTTTGATTTGATTACTCAGGAGAAATTCCAAGTAAAATTGTATACTAGTACACATGAGGAATTTGAGGGGGTAAGGAATTGGAATCATTTTAAGATTTGGTAAGGAAAGGGTTATAGTTTACTCACCTTCTCTGTGCTAAAAATTCCTCAAGTACATGAATATTGTTTGTTTTCCATGGAAAAAAATATGCATGGCATGTGTTACTAATTTTATATATATATATTATTTTTATTGCTTTCAGAGAAGAATGGAGAGGGAGAGACAGAGAGAATCATTGATCGGCTGCCTCCTGCACACCCCACACTGGAATCAAGCTTGCAATTCAGTCCTATCCTCTGACTGGGAATCAAACCATGACCTCCTGGTTCATAGGTTAAGGCTCAGTCACTGAACAATGCTAGCCAGGCACGTGTTACTAATTTTAAGAAAACTGTATCATCCAAGCAACTTGTTTAATGTTATGTAACATTGCCTTCTATGGAAATCCAAAGGATAAATAAATGGTGCTATGCAAATAAAATAAGATGGGTTCTTTAGAAACAAGCCATCCTTTATCTTACAATAGCTGCCAGGTCCCCGAATCTGCCAGTGCACTCTAGACCAATTGAATATTTTCCTCTGAGGATGTCATCAAGCATAAGTCATCATGCAGGATTTACTTGCCCCTTTGAAGAGTAAGGAAATCATGACTGCAAGTTTGGGTTTCAAGTTCCTGTCCATAATTCGAATAGCTTGGGAGTATGCACTAAAAATTCCTAGAGTGACTGGGGAACTGAAATTTTTTTTGTATTTAATTTAAATTTTGGTAACCATGTGCCTTGTGCCTCTCATATAGATGGTACCCATATATAGAGAGTCTAGAGGCACGTTGATCCATGATCTTTTTGGATGTCTTTCGTTCCCAATCATCTAGCTATAAATTTTTCTGCAGAAAGCACTCGGGATTTGTTTAGGCCAGTATTGAAATTTATAATCCTCGTAGTTCACATTCTTCTTGAATAGGCGATGGAACAACACTTGCTGCTTTGCAGCTTTTGAGCCAGGCTCTCATCTCAGGTTTGAGGTCCACTCCCAGACTGTTCACCTCCATTTGCTGCCATGCCTCTGGTACAAGAATCTTTGCAAACTGTCCCGCCCACCTGCACTACAGTAGTCAATTCATGTGATATTTATTCCTTCCTCCTCAGGTTTGCTCTTCGTTTTATACGGCCTGACCCTCGCAGCCGGGTCACTGACCCCGTTGGGGACATTGTTTCATTTATGCACTCTTTTGAAGAAAAATATGGGAGGGCACACCCTGTCTTCTACCAGGGAACGTACAGCCAGGTCAGTGCCACAAACCATATAGATGCCAATTTATTGATATGATTCCACAAAGGGAAAGAAAGCCCAGCACTGATCATGTCATGATCATTCTTTTACTGAGAAACTTTAAATTGCTCTTCACTATTTACAGAGCAAAAAGGACCAAACCTTCTAGCTGGGCCCTCCTTGATCTAATCCTAAACTCCTTTTGGGGTCTTTCCTGCATAACTTGTTTCCCCAATATCCTAGGTTCCAGCTAAACTGCTTCCTGAACAGTCTGTACTTTTCCACCTCAGTGCCTTTGCTTTTGCTGTTCCCTCCACCTGCAATGCTGTCCTCACATTGTTGCTAATTAGCTCTTACCCATCCTTCAACCAGCTCATGCCACTCCCTTCTTATGCCCTTCAGTGATTGTCATGTCCTGCCCTGGCCTACCTTGCAATTTACATAGTGCTTTCATAGTATTGTTTTTAATCTTACTGTAATTTCACATTTTTCTCTATATTTTAGTTGTTTGTGTCAGTGTCTTCTTTCCTAAACCCTTGAAGGCAAAGCCTGAAGTCGTCTTTGATCCCTCGCAGAGTTGAATAAGGGCATAGACCATAGATTCAAGGCAGCGTAGCTCATTAGCTCAAACCACACCGACCTTTGACTTGTTACCTCAGGGTGAAAATGAAGAGTTCTATGGTTTTTAAGAATATCTCTAGTTTGCCAGAGAAAAAAAATGTAGAAATAATACTGTAGGCATAGGCCAAAGGGTTGTATTTTGTAGCCTCCAGGATTCCTAAATCTATCTGGAGAAAAAGAAAAATGTTTACTCTTGCTTCCTGCTTTGATTCTCTCACATCTGCTTTTTCTCAGTTTCCCTCCCTGGCTGCTCCCACTCAACTAGACAAGCATTAGGCACCTACTGTATGCTAGTCGTTGTGCTCAGCGCTAGAGATACCGAATGAGATAGGCACCTCTATTACACTCTGCTGTGATCCTGAGGTGGAGGGTAGACCACCATTGCTCATATAGAAAATCTTAATTGAATTGTATCAAGCTCAGGATTATGCAAATACAAAAGCACAGGAATCTTGGACACTAGCCTTGTCTTTGAAGATCTTTTCAATCCCATGCTCTTTAGAACATCTTTGTTTGACCCACCATCCGTCATTCCTGCTTGGTATATAGCCTGGTATCATCTTCGCAGTATTTTTTATTTACAAAGATGTCGGAGCTGTAAAGTGGCAAAATTCTCACCTCCCTTTTCAGGTGGTCAGACACTCTTATTTTTATCTTCCTTTAGACTGGCAACACCTGACTTCTGTGATTTGTTGGGGATCTTTATTTGTCAGCTGTCTACTCTCAGGTGCCTGATACAACTAAAATGTTTTTATTTATTAATGTTTGTTAGCATGGACTTTGCATAGGGAGATAAACTCCATGGGTGTGAGGGTAGTAGTCCAGGACTCTTAATTTTTTTGCTTATTTTCCCCCCCTTATTTCTCCTTTTCTCCCTTTGTTCTTAAATGTATCCATTAGGACCCTTAGCCTAATTTAGAAGCTCTCGGTATAGTCATCATAATAATTAGTGACCTTCTGTTTCCCACAGGCCCTGAATGACGCCAAGCGGGAGCTTCGCTTCCTTTTGGTGTATCTTCATGGAGATGATCACCAGGACTCCGATGAATTCTGTCGGTGAGTGGATCGACCATTTTCTTTCTCTTCTGACCTTATCTGCTGAGAGTTTACAGTAAGCCAGTTCTCATGTCCTTTTTATTCCTCTCCACAGCAACACCCTCTGTGCCCCTGAAGTTATTTCACTAATAAACACTAGGATGCTCTTCTGGGCATGCTCCACAAACAAGCCTGAGGGCTACAGGGGTAAGTTGTGTTTCTTCTGCCTCACTTTGATTGTTGGGCTATCTTTGGAATAATCTGGAAAGACTTGCCATTTATTGCATGATTATTCTATAGTAGACACAATGTTAGTTGATATTTATACATTATCTCATTTAATCTCAGCAGTCCTGAGAGATTAGGTTGCATTACACCTCAACTTCCTGGTGTAGGAAAAAGGCTTAGATATTTAAGCTTGTCCATGATCTGGGTTGTAGGCTCAATCCCCTTTAGGGGACATGTAGGAGGCAGCTGATTGATGATGTTTCTGTCTCATCAATATTTCTCTCTGTGTCTCTCTCTCCTCCTACACTCCTCCCCTTCTCCCTTCTCCTCTCATTTTCTCCATTCTGCTCTCTCTATAATAAATAAAAAACATCTTTTAAAGAAACTAAGAAGGAAAAGAGGCAGAGAATAAATGACACCTCCCTCTTCCCCTGCTGGGATTAAAGCAGTTCTCTCTTGCTCATTGTGGAAAGTAAGTTGATCTATTTTATCCTGAAGTTCTGCCCTCAACCTGTTGGGTCTTTTTTTTTTTTGTCAGTTTCACAGGCTTTACGAGAGAACACCTATCCATTCCTGGCCATGATTATGCTAAAGGATCGGAGGATGACTGTGGTGGGACGGCTAGAAGGCCTCATTCAACCTGATGACCTCATTAATCAGCTAACATTTATCATTGATGCAAACCAGACTTACCTGGTGTCAGAACGACTAGAAAGGTACTGGGGAGTTCTCTCTAGAACTGAGAGAGACCAGCTGACCTTGAGCTCCACAAATCATGACTTCTCTAAGACAACTTTAAAAGCTTTGTCCCTTTAGTGTTAAAATGGTTAAGTACTTGACATAACTCTCCATCAGATCATCTGTTCTTAGAGATATGAATCAAAGTACAAGACAGATTCTGTGCTCAAGAATATAGATTGTGTCATTTAGAATAGCAGAGCCTTGATATAAAGAGCTTAAATGTAGAAAGAAATGGTTGTAACTCTTTTCACCATTATATAAGTAATATATATTAGTTTTAGAAAATTTGGAAACACAGAAAAGCTCAAAGAATAAATAATTCTACCACCACTCTGAAAACTTTGGTATATTTTCTTTTAATTATATAGACACGTAGACACCTATGTACAAACATAATTTTTCAGAGAGAAAATAGGAAATACACCAGAATGTTACAGTGTTTTCTCTTTATTAGAAATCTGAATAAGACGTTTTTGTGTTTTTCAAATCTTGTAAGATGTGGTTTTTTGGTTTTATAAAAGTGACTTATACAAAAATGAATGGCCCAAAGGGTTCTTTACCTGTAAAATATGCTCTGATGATCATTGTATGACAATAATATTATGTTACTTTTGTTAGAATTTGGAAAAAATTCTTCTGCTAAATGAAACTGAGAGAAGAGATGGTTTGATCAGATTCTGCCATACTCTGCTTTGGAATCCTTTATAGCAGTGCGAAATAGTCCTCTGCCAAGACTGTAAAACTCTTTACCCCCAAAAACGTCAGTGTAAGGACACCCAGAGCTTGGTGAGATTGCCCTCTCCCTTCTGTGCTTTGGTCTGTCTGCAGGGAAGAGCGAAATCAGACCCAGGTGCTGAGGCAGCAGCAGGATGAGGCCTACCTGGCCTCTCTCAGGGCTGACCAGGAAAAAGAAAGGAAGAAACGCGAGGAGCGAGAGCGGAAGCGGCGGAAGGAGGAGGAAGTGAAACAGCAAAAGCTGGCAGAGGAGAGGCGGCGGCAGGTAATGAGCCTGTCTCTGCTCCTGATGACTCCCAAACCGGTCTCCTCTATTCTTGATTTTAGGGAGAGAAACATTGACTGGTTGCCTCCCACTTGTATCTCCAACCAACTGAGCCACACCAGCCAGGGCAAACTGGTCTCTTCTTGAGTGTGAAAGGAAAAAGAGATGATTATGGGATTGTGGGTGATTTAAATTCTCTTTGAGCCAGGACCGGTTTGGCTCAGTGGATAAAGCGTCAGCCTGCAGACTGAAAGGTCCCAGGTTCGATTCTGGTCAAGGGCATGTACCTTGGCTGCGGGCACATCCCCAGTGGGGGGTGTGCAAGAGGCAGCTGATCGATGATTCTCTCTCATCGATGTTTCTAACTCTCTATCCCTCTCTCTTCCTCTCTGTGAAAAATCAATAAAATATATTTTAAAAAAATAAAAATAAAAAAATAAATTCTCTTTGACATTTATATGTTCACTACATTTTCACCAAAAGTATTTTAAAATTTGTAAAAAATTTAATTAAAAAATATAGCAGTGAGTAAAAGGTGAAACAGCTCTGTTCCATGAAAAGTAAATGTAGGTGATAAACTGTTCACAGGGCTATTTATTCACAGCAATAATTTTTAGGCACACTTAGTAGCAGTGTTGGCTCATTCAGTATTTCGTTCACAGTCTCGTTTCATTGTGTATTACCACTTGACTACAGCCAGTGTTCCTCTAGTCATTCCCTTTATTTGGAGTAGTTAAATACCTGAATACAGTCAATAGATAGTAATGTGATGCAGTAGTACTTTGAAATTGGTTGTTCTGACTCTTGCCAACAAGTTTTTCTCCTATTAGCTACATTTTTCTTTGGATGCACAAGTATATGATTATTGTATTTCTTATTTCCCTATGGGAGCCATAACCTCACCTTTGCTTTGTGTTTCTACAGAATTTACAAGAAGAAAAGGAAAGGAAGTTGGAGTGCCTGCCCCCTGAGCCTTCCCCTGATGACCCTGAAAGTGTCAAGATTATTTTCAAATTACCCAACGATTCTCGAGTAGAGAGACGATTCCACTTTTCACAGTCTCTAACAGTAAGGACTGCTTACGTTGTGTGATGTGCATGGAGAGTCTGGCCTGTGGACCAGAGAGTTGTTGTATCTGCTGCTCTGAGGAACCGGGAGGAAGGGGAGTAGAGAGAGAAGCGGGGCAGGAGGAGTGCAGTGAACTGTGATGCCTTCAGTTATAGCTGCCAAAAGCTCTATTAAGGTTCCTTTCGTCAGATTAGAAGTTGGCTAAGAAAAGAAGGTACCTTTCCAAGAAGTCCCCCAAAGACAGTTCAGAGGTGAGGCTCACAGCAGAGCCCGCTTTGCTCTGTAGAGAGAGCTCTGTCTTTGCTGACCTAGGAGCTCCGGAGCTATACATCGGACTATAAAAGCGCGTGCACGTCTCACAGAATTGTCAGCCTTCCTTGCAGGCCATGTGAAGCCCCACTTTGTGGGGCCGCCTTGTAAACCTGGCGTCCATAGGAAAATAGTGTTTGTCATTCCATAAGGAGATACTTAAAGCAGATATTCTTTTTTTTTTTTTTTTTATGAAAAGTCCCTGCACTTCAGTGTTTTATTTATTTATTTTTAAAATATATTTTATTGATTTTTTTACAGAGAGGAAGAGAGAGAGATAGAAATATCTATGAGAGAGAATCACCGATCAGCTGCCTCTTGCACACCCCCTACTGGGGATGTGCCCGCAATCAAGGTACATGCCCTTGACCAGAATCGAACCTGGGACCTTTCAGTCCGCAGGCCAATGCTCTATCCACTGAGCCAAACCGGTTTTGGCAAAAGAAGAGATTCTTATTAAAGTCTTACAGAATGAGGATCAAATTCTCATTCTTCCAGAGTTACTAGTTAAGTTTTTTTTTTTTTGGTTAATCCTTATATGAGGATATTTTTCCATTGATTTGTATAGAGTGTGGAAGGGAGGAGGAGAGACAGAGAGAGAAACATCAATGTGTGAGGGACACATCAATAGGTTGCCTCCCGCACACACCCCAACCAGGGCCAAGAATCGAGTCTGCAACCGAGATATGTGCCCTTTATCAGAATCGAATCCAGGACCCTTCAGCCTCTGGGCCAATGATCTATCCCACTGTTCAAATTGGCTAGGGCTTAGATGTGTTTCTTTGATCAGTTGTCTTAGTAATTTCTAAGCCTCAATTGTGTCATCTGTAGTACAGGTGTAATAAGCACTCTAATAGGATGGTTGTGAGGATTAAATTCATATGTATAATGTTGAGCATTATGCCTGGCTCATCGTAACTCGGATGCTAACTTCTTTTTGGTATTTGTAACCAAAAAGGAGTTTCTGTTTATATTGAGAGTTGATTTTCCAAATTTATAATTGCAATAGATTCTGCCATTTCTGATGGCCTGGTAGTTGTTCACAACCTGTGGGTGGAAACAGATTGAGAACCGCTGCTGTAGAGCCGAAGACCATCGGAAAACACAGATATTTACATTACGATTCATAACAGTAGCGAAATTACAGTTATGAAGTAGCAGTGAAAATAATTTTATGGTTGGGGGTCACCACAACATGAGGAAGTGTACTAAAGGGTCATGGCATTAAAAAGGTTGACAACCACTGCTCTAGAGAGTTTTGCAGGAAAACCTGTTACAATTGTGGAACAGAATAGGCTTGTGGCCAAAGGGGAAGCAACCCATTTGTTAATTATATTGAATCCTTAACAGCTTTTTAAATGTGTTCTCAGTAAAAGTTATTTTAAAAATAAAAAAAACTCCAGACTGAGAAATACTTGGTCATAAATGGGGTCAAGGCCCAGGGTGGGGAAGAAGTGTAGTGGCAGTTCTGGCCTTTAATTGAACACTCATCTAGGTAATAAGCCGCAGCCAAATAATTGGTACTTGTGTCATCTTCCTGTGAGCTCTGCCCTTCTTAAATAACCTCAAGGAGGGTGAATGTTCAGTGAGGTAGCCAATTTGACCTCAATGCCCAGCTCTTGACAGTGGTAACATGCTAAAACAACAAAGGATGAACTGTAGAATAATCTCTAGGCACCATGAGTGGGCAGAAAAGTGGCAGCTGATGTTCTCTTAAATGATGCATACGCAAGAGAACCCAAATTATACTCAGCCCAGAACTTATTTTTTTTACCATTTACAAATCAAAAGGACTTTTTGTGATGGTGTCATCCATTTTCTGTTGCCCATTGTCAGTGGTGACAAAAAATGCCAGTTTTGTAAGAAGGTGAGAATGGTAGTCCTCCTTTATCGATCACCCATGATCACTTGCAGTCCAAAAATACTAAATTCCAGAAATGAAAAATGCATGTTTTTAAGTTATACATACACTGTTCTGAGTAGCATGATGACATTTTTCCTGCCCTGCTCAGGACGTGAATTATCCCTCTGTCTAGCATACCCAAGCCACATACCTCCCTGCCCCATTCTTGGATGTCAGAGAGAGAGAGAGAGAGACCACATTCATGTAACTTTTATTACAGTATATTATTACAATTGTTCTTTTTTACGAGTGTTGTTAATCTCTTATTGTGCAATTTTTAAGTTAAACTTTATCGTAAGTATGCCTGTATAGCATGTATGGTGGTTCAATGCTATCCACAGTTTCAAGCATCCACTGGGGATCTTGGAACATATCCCCCAAGGAAAATGGGACTGCTGCGTTCTCAAACAGTGACTGAAAGAAGCAAAATATTATTTCACCCTTACATAAAACCATGTTGGATTCATACCAAGAATACTTGGTACAAGTCTGATTGATGCATCTCAATCAGATAGAGATAGAGAGTGAATGCTGAGAAGGGAATGAAAATGATCAATGTTGACAGACTAAAATATAAGAAGTTAAAATTATGAAGGAATTAGAGGACTTTGGGCTTACTCCTTAAATCCTGGAATTATACCCTTTCATGCTCTAAGGAGGTAAGTTTAAGACAAATGAAGGAAGAACTTCACACAGAGGGGAATAAGCTTATGAGAGATGGAACAAAAAATAGAAATCAATTCCCTCAAAAAGTAAGGGTAATTTGAATGTCGTGTTCCTAATCTTTGGGATTGATGAAGGAGAGTAGCAATGCCTTCATGGCATTTCTCTTAGAGTCTTTGTTAGACATACAATGCTAGAGGAAGAGGGCCATAGAGTATGTCCTGTACCTGTTCTTAGCGTGTGGCACACGATTGCCTGTGCCTTGTCCAGCCGGAGAGGTGAGAAGAGTATTCCCACAGAAGACAGGTTGCCATGGAGGGTCCATCAAGTTAAGGAGGGTGACCCTATGTGGGGGCAGCCAGCGCAGACAAGTCAGAGTCCGAGTGGCCCGGGGTGGTTTGGGGTGTTAAAGCCAGAACTGGGTGAGGAGGGGGGATGAGCTCAGGGTTTTCGATATCTGTGTACAGCAACCTAGCATAGAGATGTGGATGTGTAGTATGGACAGATATTCTCTAGCTTTCTCCACAGAGCGCTTGGGAGCAGCAGCATCCCAACAGCAATGAACACACCTAGCACCTAGAATGTGACTTTTCATACCATTTCCATTAAGATGAACCAGGAGTTGTTGGAGAAATGGGTGATTCCAGGGCTGGAACAGGGAAAACGCCAAGATGAGCCTGAACACTTTGTGCCCGAAAAGCCAGTAATTATTCAGAGAGCAAAGGAGACGTGTCACCAAGACACAGTCAGCTTAAATGGGCTCCTTCTGACTTCATCTGGAACGATTTGAACATTAAATAATGATTGTAATATTATAACTTACTGAATAAAATAGGAAATCATGACTCTACAGTATAAATAGAAAGATTGAGGAACAGAATGTTTTCATCGTTTCAAAGTACTGCCCCACAAAATACTCATTACATACAAAGGGTAAAAGAATACCTTCCCTGTGGAAGCCTGCAGGGGTCTGAGTGAGTGTCACAAGGAGGGGACCGGGAGAAACTGCTCCAGGAGTAGGACACATTGACTGGAATGCAGTGAGGTTACTCATGACTTCTTATTTTCCTGGGAAGAATGAGGCATAACTGAAATCCTATAAGGGAATAATGCCCAGTAATCTTTACAAGTCAAGGTCAGAAAAGATCGAGAATTTGCTTCTGGCTAAAGGAGATAGGAGACAATTCTAAACGAGTATTTTGCTATAAATGTCAATTGGTGAAACTCGAATGGGGCCTGAATAATAATTAAAAGAGTTAAATTTCCTGTTTTTGAGGGCTGTGTTGTAGTTATGTAGAAGTGTCCTGTTTGTAAGACACACAGTATTCTAGGGTGAGGGCATCAGGCTGGCAGCTCGCTCTCAACTGGTTCAAAGGAAAAGCACCTCTATGTCCTATACTTTCAACTTCTCTGTAAGTCTGTGATGATGATTATTTTTTTAATCCTCACCTGAGGATATGTTTGTATTGATTTTAGAGAAAGAGGAAGTGGGGGGAGAGGGAAACATTGGTTGGTTGTCTCCCATCCACACCCCAACTGGGAATCGAATCCATAGCCTACGTGTGTGCCCTGACCAGGAATTGGACCTGTAACCTTTTGGTGTATGGGACACCGCTCCAACCGAGTCACCTGCCCAGGGCTGCGATGGTTACTGAATAAAATTTTTTTTAGCTGTGCATCAGGCAAGTTGTGAAAGAAGAAACAGAAGAATCAGTTCAGAGTAGGACCAGATTCGGGCTGTGTAATCTCTTTAAAAAGCTGCCCTATTGTTGCGGGCACATCCCCAGTAGGGGGTGTGCAAGAGGCAGCTGGTCGATGTTTCTATCTCATCGACGTTTCTAGCTCTCTATCTCTCTCCTTTCGTCTCTGTGAAAAATCAATTAAAAAAAAAAAAAAAAAAAAAAAAAAAAGCTGCCCTATTGGCCAGCCTGGGTTGTGGGCTTGATCCCCAAAGTGGGGCGTGCAGGAGGTGGCCAACTGAGGGATTCTCTCTCATCATGGGTGTTTCTATCTATCCCTTCTTCCTGCTCTTTGAATTTGCTCTGTGAAATGGCAAGACCTTGACGTAGAATTCCAGTGTAATGTGATTACTTCGTGTCTCAGAGTCATCCTAGGGATAGCTGGGGGATATTTGATTTCATGGTGGTATGTATGTGTGTATCTATTTTTCCCTCACTGCTCTTCATTTTCTCTATGACCTCTTCAGGTTATCCACGACTTCTTATTCTCCTTGAAAGAAAGCCCTGAGAAGTTTCAGATCGAAGCCAACTTCCCCCGGCGGGTGCTGCCCTGCGTCCCTTCAGAGGAGTGGCCCAACCCCCCGACGCTGCAGGAGGCCGGACTCAGCCACACAGAAGTCCTCTTTGTTCAGGACCTAACAGACGAATGACACCTTTTCTTCCTCCCCCCTCCCGCCCCGATTCCTAAAAGAAATGGAAAAGAAAAAACAGAAAAATTCACATTATTATTATTATTATAATAATACAATATTTTTTTTAAAGACTGCTGCATCCTAAGGAAGGATCAGAAACCATGCTGCCTGCAAGAGTCACCACCTGTGTGCGTGCGAGGTTAGTAATGAACGTTCCGCCGGCAGCCCACCTTCCCCTCGGCCCCCAACACACACCTTCCAGCGAGAGGAGGCTCTGCGCCTCCAGCCCAGCCGTTGTCCCAGCGGGGAAAGGACATTCCCACTAGTTCTCATTCATTCTTGCTTTTATGGAAAGTAAAAGTGACACACCTCCGTCAACCAGCTACTGCAGCATCTCCAAGGGCTTGTTTTCCTGCCTCCAGGGGAGAGAAGGCACAGAGCAGAGATGTTCTTTAACTTCCCACCATTTATGAATAACTTTTACTTTTTTAAAAGTTGCTTTGTAATGACCAAAGGAATGAGGCTGACATGGGTGTATTCCCCCCCCCCCCCCCCCCCTTTATTTGATAAAGCGCCAATTCTTAAACCCATGACATTTCATCCCCTGGGCTCCTCAGCCCACAAGAGTATAATAAAGGTGCCCTGGCCTGGTTTGTGCTTATTTCTGCCATTGCCCTCAAGTTCCCAGAGCGGTGGTTCTTTTTGGTCCAATTCTTTGCAGTCCTTTCTTGTCACCTATGCACCCCATGTGGAGTAGTGAGAGGAAATCTGGGTTTGTAGCCCTTGTGATGTACGGATGTACTTACGTGTGCGGTGTGAACTCCATGTATACTCATCTGTACACACGTCTGCAGCTTTTCCTTGGAATCTATACCAGGGGTTATTATGGGGTCTGAGCCAAAGGATAGTAGCCCTTCATTCCTCTTCATGTGCATGCTGTTCCTACAGCCCTGAGCTTTCCTGAATTGCCAAGCTTGGTGCCTTCCAGAGGACTAGCAGGGCCTGTGGTGGGACCGGCAGAACCATGTGAGAGTGCCCTTCCCTTCTCAGTGGGTGTGTGGTGTGGTGGTGATGGTGGTATTTTAAGGGTAGAAAGAATAGAGGCCTTAACGGGACCCAACACAGAACTCGGAGGCTGTGTAAACTGTTTGGAGGCAGATTTCAGTTTCTGATGTGTCTACCTGCTGGGGGCAGTTTTTATCCTCTTTATTGCTGTGTTGAAGTAATAGGGTTTTTTAACCTCTGGATGCCTCGTCTGTGGTGGTTTATAGTATGGGTACATGGGTGAGGCCATGTATTAACAGATGCCAGCATGAGCTGACGACTATTCCAAAGTGTTCTGTGGCTAGACTGGTGCACTCGCAACGCTGCAACCTCCTGAAGTTACTCTAGTTCCCAGCATGCTGTGAGACCAAGGTGTTCATATCGAGATACAGCGTAACCTGCTGGGTCTGTCTGTAGTCTCCAAAGGCTTTCTCTGTTGCTTAACTAAAACCTGAGGACCACTCGTAGGTAGCAGTAACGTGGCTACTATTCTCTCCAGCCTCAATGGTTGGGGTGCACACCCAGGGGCAGGGTGAGGAGCCTCATGGATATCACCTAGGGAGCACGAGGATTTTCCAGTGGCCTTGGCACGGGTATCTAGAACACCATCTCTAGAAAATTTAATTCTGCTCTTGGCTGCCTATTATTCCACTTTTCCCCCAGCTGTTCTGAGGCCACACGAGCAGGAAATCGCTGTCTGTTGTCATAACATGTATCTGGAGTGAATACCTGGATAAACCATGCTCTCTCCTCAACCTTGGGTGAATTCTGCCTCCTGCTTCACAACTATGCAAAGAGGAATTTCCTCCTTCACCAAACACGCCCCCCCCCCCCCCCCCGGGCCCGCCCCCCCCCCCCCCCCCCCCCCCGTGAGTTCACAGCTGATCCCTGCCAGCATGGGGGAGGGGAGGGCTTAGGACACTGGCTAGGCTGGTGGTACTGTCTTGTCCATACCTCTTTGGGAAGGTGTAAATTTTTTTCCTTAACAATTCAATCGGCATCTTACTCTACAATGTGCACTTTATGCCTCTTGCCTTTTGATAACTTGTTCGGTGAAGGAGGTCAGATGCAAGCATATTACAAAATTTCCGTTTAGGTCGGTACAACTCTTGAGATAGCCTATGCCTTTAGGCTTCCAGAGGCTTCGCAAGCACATGTTTCTTTCCTAGTCCCGTTGCAGTAACCCAGACTCCATTCCTGTCCCCTTGCTGACCCTAGAGCTGCTGCCCAAGTGCCCTCCTTTTCTCCCTGAAAGATGCACATTTTGTCAACGTCAGTACAATCTGTACATGACTCCCAAGGACCGCTGCGAACTCGATGGGACGACCTTCGGGAGAAAATATTGCGAAGCCAGTGATCTGCAAGCATTTGTTCTTGTTTCGAATCACCTCTGGGTATTAACAGCTGTTGTTTCCAAATGGCAAGTCGTCAGCTAAGCGAAAACACTTGTTTCAAGTTTGTTTCTGCACTCCCAAGACCAAAGTTGTAGAATCGGCTGAGTGACCATGGGGCACGACCAAGTGGAGACACCCGGTCGGAGTTAGTTGAATCTTGGCAGCTCAATGGGGGCCTTCCAGTGCTCTCTTCTACTTCCGCAGTTTCCTGCAGCAAAGATTTCTTTCTCTCTGCTTGCCTCCACTATGATGTTTGGATAAGAGATGGCCAGGGGAGAATATTTATCTCTTAAAGGAAAAAAAAAAAAAAGGCTAAAAAGAACCTAGGAAATCTTCAACTGAGCAGTTTTGAAAATTGCTAATGGTGCCAAGGCCAAGGAAAGAATTTCAGGAAATGACAATGGGAAGGAGTGGTAACCCCCAGAATGCAAAATTGGGGGAGTATTTCTGGTGCTTGAACAAGAAGCTCCACTTCACAACCGGTTCTTTAGGACTTGTGAGGAAAGCAGCAACAGAAAGTCCATCCACCAAGGATGCAGTGCCCCAGCTCGGACTGCACCTGAATAGTTCCATGTAATTTACTGAAGAAATCTAGTGTACTTTAAATTTTTTTCATAAAAGTTTACATTGTATTGTAGGTTAACATTAAATGTTTTATAACAAAAATGTCCTAAGTTGTGGGTCTTTCTGTCTAGAAGAGAGGTGGTAGGTAATTTTCTATGTGAAGGCATGGTGGGGGGGTACCGGGAGGGAACAGCATTGCATTGCCAAGAAGCAAGGGAGAATTCCTGTGAAAACGGCAGCTCGGGCAGAGGGATGTAGTGCAGAGCAGACTGATCTGGCTTCAGGTGTGGGCTCATGTATCAGCTTTGTTCTTTAGCTGCCCTGAGCTTTAATTTCCATGAAAGTAACGCCATTTTCCTTGGTGTAGGATTGTAGATTAAGTGAAAGAAATGTGCATGAAGCACCGGTCACAGGAGTTCCTTTCTCCTGGAAGTGTATTTTGAACATGCAGTAATAACTCAGTTTCTTGGGAGGTGTCATTTCTGCCAGATAGACCTATATGTCCTTGCAGAGAAGAGAGTCACTTTTGACCTAACAAATTCAGGACTAATGGAACTCCCCTCCAAAGGTGTTTTCGCATATATTTTCATTTCTGAGGGAACATGTAAGCCTCAGTTCTTTGCCTTTTCCCCATTGTCCTTTGCAAAGAACCCATTTCTCTGAGGTATCAGTTCTTGTCACCTTCAGGGTCTGCCCTGTTGATTATCCAAAGATGTGAGGCCTTTGTTTTGTAATGTACGTTTTAAGTGTAAACTAGAATGTCTTCTGTGAGCCTTCCATATAAAAATTTGGCTCTCAGTTAACGGAGAACAGGAAGATTCAGATCCTGATGCCGGATACTCCTGGTCCCTATACCTGCCTGTGGCTGTGATTTTAGCCAAGTGACCTCCACTATAGGCTTCAGTGTCACACAAAACGGGCCGATTGTAGGGAGCATTGCTGTTGAGTGAATTGCTTCCGAGGCCCATTACAGATCCGTTTGTAGTTTGCCCACTGCTAATGGTTCGCCCTAGTATGGTTAAGTGGAGGGGAGAGAGTGTGGCTTAGGGGGCAGCAGAGTATGCCAGCACTTCCTGACATGCCTCGGTGTTGCAGTTGGAATTCCTCATGTGCTTTTACCCCAGTGGAGCAGTGTGTCCCCATAGTCCCTTTCTCAGCCTGTAAGCTCAGTTAATGGGACCAAGCCTCTCCCTTCCACAGCCCTACCCTCCTACCTCTCAGAATGGTGTCTGGAACTCCTAGGTTTCTTCCTCGTAAACGGAAATATGGTTTTCCCCTGAAGACAACACTTCAAAAAACCCTTAAGCAGGTGCCACTCGTTTTCCCACGAATCTTGACACCAGGGGGCAGGCTCTGTATCTCCCTTCTGCCACCTGGGTGCACTGTCCTGCAGCACACGCCATCTGCTGGGACTGTCCCGTCCGCTGTCCCGTCCGCGGCTGCTGGCCAGATGTCGGCAGTTGGCACTCGACCACAGCCCAGGTGACCCATCCCCGCGTGTGGGTTCTCCGGACGGACAGCTCCTGATGTGACGGCAGCTGAGTGTGGTGGGAAGAGGCTTTGGCATTAAATCCGGCTTTGAAAGAGCCCTCTGCTTGCTGACTGATGAGGGCAAGTGTCGTCATGTAAACATGGGACTAAGTCCTGGCCAGGTTCAGGTGCCTTCAACGGCCGTGTCCGAAGGGCCTGCGGTGGGCAGACGGAGCTGAGCGAAGGCGGCTTCCTCCCCTCAGTCCCCAGCAGGGCCACGCTCGGTGTGGTCTTCACCTGGAACTGCTTCCCCCGAGGGCCTCGGAACAGCCCCTCACTGGCCAGAGGCTTGCTGGCTCCAACTCCTGTCCCTTCTCCGCCCTCAAAGCCTTTGTGTCCCCGGCTCCGCTCACCTCAGTCCCCTCTGCTGGAACTGTCTTGGACTCAACACCCCTCTCCACGATAAGCCAGAACTCAGTCACAGCTCCTAGTCAACCCCGCTGTAAGCTGCAGACTCCTAGCATCTGTCAGCGAAGTGAGGGGCCC